TAAATTTTAACCCCTTGGTCATTGATCCCTTCAAAAAATCCTTACTGACCGCTAGTTGATATAAATGTTCAGCCATAATCATAATAAATAGGAATGACATGGACTCCTCTTGCTCCTATTTCCTTTGATTTTACATGATGATATTTGAACCACAACTGTTTCACCTTTTCTCCTTTATTCACCATGACATTTATGCACCTGCTGATTTGCTTAACCTCATTATCATCTATAACTTTGATGCCATAGTGCCCTCTAAAAAGATTACTGACTCTCATCCTGGCCATATTGATCCTCAGTTTAACTGACTTGAATAGATGTGGTAGACAAGTGTCGGGGGAGGATATGTTCAGCAGTGACTGACTCACCATTCTCAACCAGAAAGCTTCCGAGAAAGAGCTGCGTCTGGTTAACATTTGACTGGTGCTTTTCTCAGTGAATTGTAGGCTTCGACTTTGAAATATGACTTTGTAGAGAAGCTGCCAATCAGAGGCTGTAGCCTCTGGGTCTGAGAAATTGTCAGTAGCAGCCTCAACATCAGGGATGCTAAAGGAAGTTGAGAAGCTTTATTTCATGCAGGTTTTATGGGGTAAGATTCATAGGAAGAAGGGAATCAGGATGATCGAAGGAAAAGGCAGGGGTTTTAATTTCAAGGCCCACCCCCGCCCCTTCATTGTGCCCAACTGGCTCCAAATTTGAGTAAGTGGAGGTCTATCCCAAACCTGGCAGGCAGGGGTGCTTTGGGTTCCCAAACAGTAAATGGATCATTTTTCTTGCCTGTTGAGAAGCCAGGTAAATCTGTCAGAGGGTGAATTGTGGCCCTCAAATGGCCGCTAATTGCTGATGAGTTGAGAAGGTCCCAAATGGACCAAGAATTAATTGTGGAGGTGGTGAGAAGGGAGCAAATATCTCTCCAAGTCTGGATCATCTTTGACCGTGAGTTGAATTATTGACCATATACCTGCACCATCACTGAGGAAAATCAGTGCCCAATATGTGTCAATATGATTTTCTACATCAAGTCAGAGATTTTAAATCAGTTGTCTATATGGCTAAGGACGGTTGACACAATCCATGGCCATGACAATAACAAGTAGAAAATTCCAGCGTAAAAGCAATCATTTAAAAACTGGCCTATTAAGGCACGTAATAAAGCGATCCCCACTGAAGGAAGTGAAAGCATATTTTAGTTGTCACACCACAGTCAGATTCTGTACAGTGATTAGCTGCTCCTAAAGATATTCTTCGACAGAGCAGCTATCACAGTACAGTGCACTATTGTGGGTGGCATTGTGGCTCAGTGGTTAGCACTGCTGCCTCACAGTAGCAGGGACCTAGATTCAGTTCCAGTCTTGGGTATCTGCCTGTGTGGAGTTTACATGTTCTCCCCATGTCTGCGTGGGTTTCCTCTGTGAGCTCCAGTTTCCTCCCACAGTCCAAAGGTGTGCAGGTTAGGTGGATAGGCCATGTTAAATTGCCCATAATGTTCCAGGATGTGTAGCTGGATTAGCCATGAGAAATGCAGGGTTACAGGAATGGGGTGGATCTGGGCGGGATGCTTTTCAGAGGGTCAGTGTGGACATGATGGGCCGAATGGCCTGCTTCCACACTGTAGGGATTCTATGATTCTATCTTTATTCCTGTCTTTCAATCCCAGTTCACCTCTAGGAGACTGCTGCAGGATTCAGCCCATCCTTTGCAGATATTTTATACTGTGTGACCGAGGTGACTTGATCGCCACAGTTGTGAAGGGCAACTGAATCCTTGTCCAACCTACACCAGACATAAACACAGTCTTGCTGGGATCTAATATGGCAGAGCTACCAGACAAAGCTGCCTGGCAAAGCCAAAAGACATGAGATTGTGATAAGGGGAGCTAGGGCACTGCATTACCATGAAGACCCATGAATGTAATCTATTAATAATGTTCAATCTCTTTGCGCATAATTCCCTCTTAGCAGCGTTGGACTTTGAAAATAGCAGTTAGCTTTCTGTTTACATGTACATTAAAGAAGTTACAAAACATATTATTCAACTAGTTTAACATTATATTTACTGTTGATGATCCATGGCACACAGAAAGTAAAACAACTTTGCAATATACTGGTTTACCCAGAGTTCAAGAGACTCTCTATACATCAACATTGTTCTTGCACCAATGTATACCAATGTGTACTACTGTCTCCTGTGAGAGGATTTTAGTCTTTTAGTATGTCAGTGGTATGCAACCACTAAACAAAACCATGAGGTAAATGCTTACAACCCAGAACATTGAAGACAACTTTGGGTTTAAGGTAATCACCAGTGTCACCATGGTCTTGAAGGGGAAGGAAGAATGGAAGGACAGCACCTTGAATTCTATAGCACACCTCTGTGGTTGTTACATGGACCTTTCCCCCAAGCAGAAAATGAGCACAAATAGCCAGAATGATTATTGAATGTATGATTAGGCTGTTAAAGCTCTATCTCTAATGTCTTAACTGTTCAGGATTGGCTAAACAAGTAGGTGTAGACATCTTAAAATGCAACTCATACAAACTCATACAATAATAGTGGCTGATGCATGCTTCACACTTCATGCTATGTAAATACTTTACTGCATGACGAGCAAAGTCATGGCATGGGAAGAGCGTGAAAATGATAAAGAACAAGCTCTGAACCACTAATGCAGCATGGAAAACCGATGAAGCAAGGCACTAATTCAAAATGACAGGCAATGATTACCACAGCAAAACCACTTCTTAAAGCTAAATATCATCTGTAAAGTAACTGTATCTGTTCATGATTCACTCATTTATCTACTCTTCAGGTCAGTAGGTTCTTACATGTCAAGGTCAACATTCATAGCTCATTAAACATGCAATAGTACTTAACATACTCTTAACAGATAGTAATAATGACCAAGCGACTGAACCACGACATAGATAGGTTGAGAACCTAAACATTTTACAGCTCTTAGCTCAACATATATGTCAATCAGACTTTTGTCAAATATAAATGCCGTTTAGAGCTTGCCATTTTGAATACATTTCTTTCACCTCAGTGTTATGTCAGCTGTTTTGGAGCAGTCAGAGCTGCAATTCACAGCTAGCTGTCAGGATCACTACTTGCTTGTTTCATTGGCTGACCTGTGATGCAGGATTTAAACAGCACATTTTATTGCAGTTATAGAAAGTTCTGTAGTGGAGGAGGAATGAGCCAATACATATAATGATTCTCAAAGACACTAGCTTGTTCTTAGGACATCACCAACTGTTTTAAGCTTATGGCTCTTGAAAGTGAATGATCAAAAGCTTCTTTCAACAGAAATATCTGGTGAAGCAGGATATTCCACTGAATTATTTTCAGGGTCTTTGTGCATTTTGGGAATTTTTGAGCATTCTCAATTTCTTACAGAGCACATGTATTTCGCTGCGTCTGTGACATGACCCAGGGGAACTCACTTTACAAACCCCCTTGTTGACCTGCTTGCCTCAATCCAATGTTGGAAATCCAAACACAAGTCTGCAGTTATATTCTGGCCCACTGAAGCTGTTGGTAGAGAGCTGCAGCCAGAAAGACAGCTTTTAATGCTTGAAATCACAACTGGGAAGGTTGGGCTGTTGCAAAAACTCAGTGGCTCTGGCAATCTCTGTAAGGGGGAAATACAGTTAATGTTTGACCTGTGCTGTGGGCTCCACTAACAAAATGACGTTACAACATCTTAAGCCTGTAACTGTGTTTGCTACTGATCCTTTGCTCTGTTAGGGGCCAGGAGGAGATCACTATACAATTAGTTTTTAAGAAATACCTAAGTTGGGGCATTGAATAAGTATGTTACGAGAAAGAATGGAAAGGTGGAAATATCTTATCCAGCCTTATTAAAATCCCATGCTGGGCCTGCATTCTTTTACAGACAGATTGATGCAGATATATGTAACCCCAGGATAGACAAGGCAAGAAGAAAACCTGCCTAACCTATTTTCCTGCTCTTTTTACCAGAGGATGCCAGTCCCCTAAATGCTCCTATTCTAAGATTTTTTAAAAGCTGTTTATGTATTTATTGCAGTAGCCGATGATGAGCTATGGCTTGGAATGAATGACCTCAAGACTCAAATGCTGTTTGAATGGACAGATGGATCTGCAGTGACCTTTACGGCCTGGCTGCATAACGAACCGAGCCACTTTGATAATAAGCGAGAGAACTGCGTCGTCATGAGGACAAAGGTTATCATAAAATCTACTCATTCAGCAAATTACAATGAGAACATTTTTGCATGCCTTGATGTACAATAAGTGAAGGATACTTTATTTTTAAAAATACAATAAAAGGCTAAGACACATAGTTTAGAAACCAGGCTGGGACAAGGCAAGGGGCAATTTGCCTATCATGGTAGTTTGATAGTACAACTTCCAAAAAAGACCACTTTAACACTCTCTTAAAGTGGAATGCAGGGCACAATTCATTTTAATTGGGACTCTGGCTGTGTGGAAAATTAGCAGTGATTGTTTTTAGTTCAAATGGATTTCTTTTCAGGTCAGTAGAACGATCTTATTAAAATTAATGACAAATTCTAGGATAAAAGGCCCTGAATTTCATTGTGGGTTCAACCAGGTCCATGCTACAGCTCCAGCTCATCCAGTTGAATTCATCCAAGTCTCAGCAGTGCCAGAGTTTTTCTGAAATTTCAAAGGGGTGGAGTATTGGTTACCACAACACCAATGCCACCTTGCTCTGTAGGCAACTAGTGTCAATGGTTGAACAGAGTGTAAGATGTTTTATTCTGCATGCATCTGCTGTTTCAACTTAGTAAAGACCCCATGTAATATATTGATGAGACGGGTTTGCATCCTATCCTTTGCTGGTGATCTTTCTGACCTTTTGGTCTAGAATATCCATCAGCATAATGCAAGGTCTGAAACAAAAACAGAAATTACTGAAGAAACTCAGCAGATTTGACAGCATTTCTGAAGGAGGCTCACCCGACTTGAAAAGTTAACTCTGCTTTCTCTCCACAGAATGCAGTCAGGTGTGCTGAATTTATCTGTTTTTGTTTTGGATTTCCAGCATCTGAAGACTTTTGTTTGATTTGAATGCAAGGTCTGGTCTGTTTTAGTGATGTGTTACTTATAACCTCAATGTTGATCACTTTTGTGAGAATAAATTCCTCCGCTCTCAGTAGACCTGCTGTCACTGTGGGATCTCTTATGGCTAATACAATTCAGTCTTTAACCAGATCATCATCACAGGATTCTGAGAGCTGTGCTAATGCAGTTAGGGAGTCTTCCTGGAGAATGTCATCTCAAAATTAAATCTCAAGTGTAAGACCTGTTCAATATCTGTCAAGTAAAGCTCCAGCTGCCCTGAAGTATAGCCTGAAAGACAAGGTAGAAGAGCTGGACAAGAAAAAAATGAGCATGGAAAATCACACTCAGGTTATCTGTTGAATACATATTCAAATTTGTAGGAGATGAGAGATGAACTCCTTAATTGTAGTTTTCCTCCATTTAATAATCATTTCTTGTGAATTTGAAATTCCATTTGAAATTCTCCTTCTAGATGTTCTGGAGGACGTGCTCCGTTTATACACATTCTGTTTAAAACAGTGTAACTTCACATTTTTTTAGTTGAAGACATCTGTTACATGCAAGTACAGACTGTTGCAATGTGACCTGCAAAAGTAAATGGTTTAGGACAGAACATCAATGTTATTAATTTAATGCTAGATGTCATTTCTATTAAATAGCTGACCAGAATTCCAGACTGTGAGGCACTACCAGCTGAAAAGTGTTCAATGCTTGTTTTATTTTGAAAAGTCTTGGGTGGTACTTGTATTAATGTTTAGCCTTTATTGCCCTGATATGATAAGACTCATTTTGATGGAGGATCCGTGGTGATATATTGTTAGAAATTTGTGGATTTTACACAATGCCATATAAGATCTGGAGGGGTCTCCATGGGGTATAAATTGGAAGGATATTTCCTCTCATTCAAGAGTTCAAGAATGAGCTCTCCCTTTAAAACAAAGATAAACAGAATTATTTTTGCTCAGAGGATCATTGAGTGTGGAATTCTCTTCCTCAGGAAACAGTGGAGGCTGAGTCTGTAAATTTATTCAAGGCTGAATTGATTTTGATAGATAAGGGAGTCAATGGTTATGGGTCAGACAGGAAATTGACAATGAGACCACAACCAGATCAACAGGATCCTGTTGAATGGTGGAGCAGACTCAAAGCCTACTCTCATTCCTATATCCTATGTTCTTATTTTTTTAGATGTGAGCATTACTAGCATACTTGTCATTTATTGGCCATCCTTAGATTTCCAAATTCTGATTTTTCAGTCATCATTTTACAACTGAATAAATTGCTATGCCATTTAGGACAGCAGTTGAATGGGACTGGAGTCACAGTGGCCATGTTATGTTCAGATGGCATGGTTCTTCCCTAAAGAATGTTAGAGAACCCATTGGATTTTTAATGGCAGTTCATTAGCTTGGTGTCACTTTCCTTTTTACTTATGCCACATGTTTAATTTTCAATACAGGGTCAGTAACCTAAGCCTCAGATAATTTCAGGGTCCGCAATAATGTAAAGCAAGCACAGTACCCAATTAATGGCACCTGTCACTACTTTACAAAACAGACCAGACGACACTTCCAAAAGCCGGTAGCCTCACTCCAGCATGGAAGTGGGAAAATGATCAATGCAAAGATATAGTGCCTGATCTGGTTTAGACAACGTAACCCCCACCCCAACCTCACACACGCACTTCGCAAAATGTTTTGGTCAAAAAAGCCTCTGATTGCTCCCCACACCAAATCTGACAGCTGTGCGTTAATGTTACACAGCAAACTATTTGGATTTGGCTTTTTCCCTTCTCTGATTAACTCTAACTGTTTTGTCCTCACTAGCCTGCTAACAAACTCATAGAATCCCTACAGTGTGGAAACAGGCCAATCAACCCAAATGACACAGCCCTGCCGAACGGCATCCCACCCAGACCCATTCCCGTACCCTTTTCCCTGTAATCCTGAATTTCCCATGGCTAATCCACCTACTTATGCACCCCTGGACACTATGGGCAACTTCCCATGGCCAGTCCACCTAACCTGCACGTTTTTGGACTGTGGGAGGAGACCGGAGCACCCGATAGAAACCCATGCAGACATGGGGAGAATGTGGAAACTCCACACAGACAGTTGCCCGAGGGTAGAATCAAACCCAGGGGTTAGTGCTAACCACTGAGCCACCGTGCCGCACCTTGAGAACTTGAGTGGTTATCAATCAGAGGTAGATAGATTCCTGATTCCACTTGCCTCGCCCTCATGTTGAAAATGTGTGTGTGTCCTGGAGGCACAGATGAACTGGGAGCACTGATTTCAAAATGTATTGTGCTGCCCATTAGCAACTGAAAACCCCAGCTCATGTATTCACTTGAAGATATTTTAGCAGCATTCAAATTCTCGAACTTGCTATGTGAGATTTGAACTCATGCTGTCTGTATTATTAAGCTGGTAACAACAGTGTAAATCCGAACTAGAATGATATGTGATTTGGAGGGGTGTGAAAATTTGTATCAAAATGTCTGATGAGGAACAAGGGATGTAGGCATTTGGAGTCAAATAGATCTAGGTTAACAGGGACGATAGGTTGGGATCACATGGAAAGTTTACAGAGACAAACTTCAGGGTCATTGATCCATGGGAAGAGTGATTTACAACACAGATTGGAATGAAACATTGGAGAGTCTTAGCTAGAGAGCTACGGAAACCTGGTGTGGGAATTGTCAAAGGAGGAAAATAATTTAAATATGTTTCAACACAATCTAAACCCACACATGAAAGCAAACATTATTTATCCAATCAGAGATAGTAGGAACTGCAGATGCTGGAGAATCCGAGACAACAAGGTGCAGGGCTGGATGCTTGGCCTGCTGTGTTCATCCAGCCCTGCACCTTGTTGTCTCATTATTTATCCAATAATGTGTCGATGCTTATTTACAGCAGGAGGTGGAGCTGTAGGCAAAAGGAGGCAGCTTGAATTCAGAAACAAATGTAATTTTTAAATGTCTGTTACAAAATATATCTTGTAGTAAATTGGGATAGGAAGCAGGTGGGCCCAAAGAGCAAGCAAAAGTATTTTAATATTTAAAACTAATAATTAACAGTTGGATGTTCAGGATCAAGAGTTTGACAAATATACGATACATGTGCAAAATGGAAAAAATATTTCAAATAATTTTAAAATCATGTCACAGAAGTTACTAATGCATTAAAATAAATAAGTGGCAAAACAAACAAAAAGAAAGTAGGATTTTCTTTTACAAAATGAGTTGTTCTGATCTGGAACGCACTAACTGAAAGAGGGGTGAAAGCAGATTACATGGAGAAAGATTTAGGCAGTGGGATTAATTGGGTGGTTTTGTCATGGCCTTCTTTACTGTATCATTTCATGACCCTGTTAATTTTCATCATAAATCCATGCTAGTATTAGCATTTACTGTGTGTGAGATCAGGTTGAATGTCATTGGGATGAACTCCTCACTCTTTTGATTTTTACTTTATTGCCACTGTTTGCAAAGGTCCAAAATATCTTTAACAAAAACAAAAGTTGCTGGAAAAGCTCAGCTGGTCCAGCAGCATCTGTGAAGAGAAATCAGAATTAAGGTTTTGGGTAGGGTGACCCTTCCTCAGAACTCAGAACCTTCCTCACCCTTCTGAGGAAGGGTCACTGGACCCGAAATGTTAACTCTGATTTCTCTTCATAGAGAAATGCCAGGCCTGCTGAGCTTTTCTAGCAACTTCTATTTTTGTTCCTGATTTACAACAGCTGCTGTTCTTTCGGTTTTTTTACCAAGGTATCTTTAGTCATTGAAACAGGAATTCAGGATCCACAATGTCCTGCTGATCTGAAGGACAAAATCTAAACTGTCTGTGGCAAAATAAACAAACTCTAATGACAGGATTTTATTTGAATGAATGTTCCATTATACCCAAGATACAGTTCAAAATATGAGCATTGTTTTCACACCGTTATGCATACAACAGGAACACTTCATAGCAAAGAAAAATAATTATTGTCTGGAATATGTCATTCATTGTTCTGGAAAGTTAATATATAAACAATGTGTTTTACCTTGAAGCAACGGGCTCTGCCGATGCTTGTGTACTGTACAGCAAAATCATTTGTCCAGCTACCATGTGAAGTAGGCATATGCCACTTAAAAAAAACTTATCTGAGAACGTACAGACTGGGAAAGGCCAGTGTAATTAGTCAGAGAGAAAGCAAAATATCTGGCATTCTTTTTTCTTAAAATGAAACTTGCCAGTGTCTCCCAAGGCCAATGTTTCTGTGTGACATATATGCAGAAAATAAGCACCATTAACATTTATAGCAACACCACACACACACACATGCACACAGACACGCACACACATGCGCGCCCAGACACACACACACGCCCGTGCACACAGACACACACACGCACGCCTGCGCAGACACACACACACGCACGCCTGCGCAGACACACACACACATTGTGCATCATCAGCTGTAAGTGATGCTATAACTTTAAAAAGGATAATGGATGACAAAATTATGCCAATCAAAACTGGTTGTCTTATCTCGTCCCTTCATGTGTGTTGCACTTTGTGCTATGTCACCACTGCACAATGACTGGGTAGGCTGTTATGTGTAAGCCTTAAGGGTTTGATCTTTGTACCAGGTACTGCATTCTAGCTTTCATTCTTAAGAAAAAAGGATAATACTAACAGAGAACCAGGAAATGGCTGAGGAATTGAATAATTATGTTACATCAGTCTTAACCGTAGAATACATTAATAGCATTCAAAAATTACTAAATATTCAAGGGACAAAAGGAGGAGAAAAAATAAATACAATAATTATCACTGGGGAGAAAGTGCTAGGGAAACTAATGGGTCTAAAGACTGAGTGTCTTCCTAGTGTCCTCAAAGGCCCCTGAAACTGATGGGATACATCCTAGGATTTTAAAGTAAGATTTTAAAGCATAGTGGATGCACTGGTAGTAATCTTCCAGGAATCATTAGATTCTGGAAAAGTCTCAGATAATTGGAAAACTGCCAATGTAACATGTTTATTTAGAAAGAAAAGGAGACAAAATTAAGGTATGTATTAAGGCCAGTTAGCTTAATATCAGTTATTGGGAAAATGTTGAGTCTATTAGGTAAAGGCAATGTTGCCATAGTCCAAGAGGACAATGGCACTGCTCTCCCGTGAGAGAAAGAGATGACAGGTGGTGGTTTATCCTGAGGGTCACCGCGCCTCAGGTGAAGGGAGGGTTTGAGAAGGAGAACCCTTCATGGTAACCTCAGCCATTGGGGGAATTGAATCCACATTCAATTGCGATACAAGCATCAAAGATGCCTACTGCTCCAGTCCCCATCTGCATTTGGAAAATCACATCACAACACTGTGCTCCTCCTTACGGCTTGCAGGCAGAAATTGAAGCATGAGGACCCAGTACAAAAAGTAGTGCAGTGTTGGTCTGAGGCAATGGAAAGGGTTGTATGAGACTGCACAGAGTTGGTGGACCTGTCAATATTCAAGAACTCAGCAGCCAACCTAAACGAGTATGTTACCATGTCATAGACTTCGTTATGAAGTGTATCCAAGTCTGCGTTTTGATGAAGTTTATCCAAATGTTTCCTGACCAAAAACCAGGGATAAACCAGGAGATCCACTCCCTACTAAAGTCCAGGTCTGAGGTGTACAAGTTGAGCAACTCTGACCTATGGATGAAATCCAGGTGTGACCCTTGTAAGGCTATCAGAGATGCCAAGAGGCAATACTGAGCTAAACTTGAGATCCAGACCAACCACATAGACACCCGACATTTGTGGCAAGGCTTATGCAACATAATGGCCTACAAAGCAAAATTGAACAGAATCACAGGCAACAGTACATCCCCACCCAACAAACTCAATGCATTCTATGCCTGCTTTGAACAGAAGATCAGTAAAACGATGTCACCTATCCCAACAGCCACGGATGCACCTGTACCCACGGTCACTGCCACAGACGTTAGATCGCCTTTCTTCAGAGTGAACCCACGGAAAGCAACTGGCCCAGATGGAGTCCCCGGTTGTGCACTCAGATCCAGTGTAGATCAGCTTTGCAGGCATATTTAACCTCTCCTTACTACGATCTGAAGTCCCCACCTGCTTCAAGAAGACCACCATCAAATGTTAGAGGCTATTATTATTGTAGCAGGGCACTTATGTAATTTCAAGGTAATCAGGCAGAGTCAATGTGGTTTTGTGAAAGGGAATTCATGTTTATTCAATCTATTGGAATTCTTTGAGGAAGCAATGTGTTATGGATAAAGGGAAAGTAGTGAATATACTGCACTATGACTTCCAGAAGAGATTTGATAAAATGTCAAATCAAAGGTTTTTGCTGGAAAGAAAGGTTCTTGGTATAGAGGATAGCACGTCAGCATGGATCAAAGATTGGCTGGCTAAGACAGTCAGAATGAATGGGTCTTTTATAGGTTGTCGAGAAATGATGGTGTATCACAGGTATCAAGTGCTGGGACGTCAACTGTTTAAAGCTTATATAAATGACTTATAATAAAAGTTGGGAGATATAATTGCCAAGTTCGCAAACAACACAAAGATAGATAGGAAAATAAGCTGAGCAGAGGAAACAAGAATGCTACAGAGCATTATTGATAGGTTAAATGAGTGGACACATATCTGGCAAATGAAATATAATGTGGGATAAGCGGAATTGTTCTTTTTGGCACAACGAATAAAAAAAAAGCATTTTATCTCAATGGTGACAGATTGCAGAGGTATAAGAGGTATAGGAGGAATCTTGGAGTCCTAGTGTTTGAATCACAAAAGATAAGTATGCATGTAATTAGGGAGATTATGCTTCAATTATACAGGTCAGTGGTGAGAGAACATCTGAATACCATGTACAATGTTGGTTACCTTATTTAAGGAAGGATGTGAATGTGTTGGAAGCAGTTCGCAAGAGGTTTTCCAGTGTAATACCTGGAGTGGACAGTTTATGAGGAAAGGTGGACACACTATGTTTGAGTCTACTGGAGTCTAGAAGATTAAGGGGTGACTTGATTGAAAGTTCTTGACAGGGTAGATATAGAGATGATGTTTCCCATTATGGGACAATGAAGAACTGTTTAAAAATCAGTAGCTCTTATTGAAACAGAGATGCAGGAAAAAAAAACTCACAAAGTCATGAGTCTTGAAAAAGCTGTGGAAGCAGAACCTTTCAATATTTTTAAGGCGGTGGTGGACTGATTTGTGGTAGGCTTTGGGTGAAATGTAATCAGAGATTTGCAGGAACTATGTTTCCAATGATTGCTTCTGCCATTGCATGGACCTCTGAGGTCTGTGCACAGCAATACCTTCTGGAACTGGAAGTCTATGTGTTGATATGCCGATTAGCGTGTGCGGAACCTCCAGCCGTGCAGCATCGAATAACTTTAGATAGGAATGTAGATTTGTGGTTCCAATTAAATCAGCCATGATCTTTTAAAATGGTGGATTAGGCTTGAGGGACCAAAAGGCTGACTTCTGCTCCACATTGGTATACCTGTATATGTGTGCGTTTCTGTAACCAAATGTACAGAAACATCTGCAGGTAATGACTATATCCAGATGTAATCATGTATTAAAATTAATGCTTGTCTTTGTCAGATTGGCTATTGGGCAGATCGTGTGTGTGAAAAACAGTATGGATATATCTGCAAACGCAAACCACTTCCAAAAGGGCAGGAGGAGGTGATTCCTGTGGAAGAAGGATGTCTGAAGGTAAGGAGATACATCTAATGCTATATGATTAAATCTGGGACTACTTTAAATAACCTTACTGTCCATCTGATTAGTTCCTCTCTTCTTATCTGCTATTAGTTTAACATATTGCCAACCTTGATAAAAAATATATTAAGCAACATATAATGATGTTCTGAAGTGGATGGGTCAATTGCTTAAAAGACCTATTCTATAATACTGTGTAATCTTATATATTGGCAGAAAACAATATTAGAAACTGAGTTTTTACCATTCACAGTAACCATGTCAGGGTAGAAATATGAAATATATGAGAGATTCTAACTCTATGTTGACTAATTTTCTTATCCTTTCATTTTACTTCTTCATAACTTTCCTTTAGTAGAGGAGGTGCCATAATTCTGCTTATAATTTCTCAGACTGTCAGTCTTCTGCTATTAGCTCCAGCAACTTAGTAATTGAGACTCCAATGTGAGTAAGGTTTGGCAGAAGGCATTCTGCTTTTGGTCGAGTCGATAAAATGCGGACATGAAGGGTCCTGACCCGAAATGTCAATGTTCCTATTCCTAGGATGCTGTCTGACCTGCTGTGCTCCTCCAGCTGCACGTTTTATTGACTCTGACTTCCAGCATCTGCAGTCCTTGCTATATAATTTTGGTTGACCCCGGTGCCCACATACATCTTCATGGCACACTATACAGAGATGAGGAGAAGGAACATTGTTTGAGATTTCCCCTATAAAGCTCAGTTGTTATATCCTCACAGAGGTTTAACCATGGTCATATGGAATAGCAGAGCTGACTTGAAAGGCTGAACTAACTACTCCTATGCCTAATTCTATGTTTCTACGTACTCTACTTGCTGGCTATCATTCAACCTGTGTGGTTTAGTTGCATAAAATGAAGCATCTTCTTGAGCTCTTTTTTCCCCTCAATTCTTCCATTGCTGATGAAACATTGTAATTTGTTCTGGTGGAATGCTGACTTCATTAACTCTGGCATTAAAAAAAAAACACTTGGCATGTTTAGTGGTCAACCTTTTTACCATACTGATAAGAAAGCATATTTAAAGTCAAACTCAATTCCTTCCAAAAGAGATGGCCTTCAAGGCATGGCTGCTCTTTTTATATGTTGGCATTAGTAGGTACCAACTGGGCAGAATAATTCAGCACATTTTGTAAATTAAGCTTTCAAGCTCGAAAAAAATGCAATTATAGAGTCATGGAGTCATACAGCATGGAAACAGATCCTTTGGTCCAACCAGTCCAAACTGAACATGTTCCCAAACTAAACTAGTCTCACTTGCCTGCATTTGGCCCATATCTCTCCAAACCAGTCCTATTCATGTACTTATCCAAATACCTTTTAAATGTTGTAACTGTACCTGCATCCACCACTTCCTCTGGCAGTTCATTCCACACATGTACCACTCTCTGTGTAAAAACGTTGCCCCTCATGACCTTTTCAAAACTTTCTCCTCTCACCTCAAGAATATGTCCCTTAGTTTTGAACTCCCCCACCCTAAAGAAAAAACCCTTGCTATTCATCTTATCTGTGCCTCTCATGATTTTATAAACTTCTACAAGGTTACCCCTCAACCTCCTAAACTCTAGCAAGAAGAAGTTCCAGCCTATCCAACCTATTTTATAACTCATACCCTCCATTCCCAGCAACATTCTAGTAATCTTTTCTGAACCCTCTCCAATTTAATAATATCCTTCCTATAGCAGGGTGACCAGAACTAGACACAGTAGTTCAGAAGAGGCCTCACCAACGTCCTGTACACCCTCAACATGTTATCCCAACTCCTGTACTCAAAGGTCTGAGCAATGAATGCAAGCATGCTAAACACCTTCTTAGCCATGCTGTCTACCTGTCTTGCAAATTTCAAAGAATTATGTACCTGAACCCCTGGGTCTCTCTGTTCTGCAACACTTCCCAGGACCCTACCTTTAATTGTATAAGTCCCACCCTTGTCTGTTTTACCAAAATGCAATACCTCGCATTTATCCAAATTAAACTCCATCTGTCACTCCTCAGCAAAGTGACTCAATTGATCATGATATCTTTGTAATCTCAGATAACCTTCTTCACTGCCTACTATGCCATCAATTTTGGTGTCATCTGCAAACTTACTAACTGTGCCTCCTATATTATCATTCAAATTGTTTATATAAATGAAAAATAAAGCTTGAACTCTTTAAGGATTTCCTTCCCAGAATCTTGAGCTTCATGGGCCTGCGAAATGACAGATCCACCAAAGGTGGAAACACAGTGGTATGCAACAAGGATGGAGTTTCCCTGGGAGTTCTCAACATTGACTCCTGACCTCATCAGGTCAAACATGGGCAAGGATTATGTCCAACATTCTTCATCATCTTCATTAACTCCAAAATACGATGAGAGGTGTGGATCTTCACTGATAAATGCCAAGTAATATTTCTGCCATAGAGGAGTCAGGTTTCCATTTCCAACTATTGTCTCTCGACATTCAATGGCTTTACCATTTCTGAAAACTCTAAATACCAATATTCTGCTGGAATCATTGACAAGAAACTGAACTGGACTAGCCATATAAATACTGTGGCTCCAAGAGTAGGTCAGAGGGTGTGAATTCTGTGGCAAGTAACAATATGTATTCCCTACCTACAAGGAACAAGGCAGGAGTGTGATGGAATACTATCCACTTGCCTAGATGTGTGCAGTTCCAACAACACTCAAGGTACTCAGAAACGTTCAGGACAAAACAGCCTGCTTGATTGGAATCCCATTGAACATCTTCAACATTTACACCCTCCACCAGAAACGCACAGCGGCAGCAGTGTTTACCATCTACAAAATGCACAGCTGCAATTCAGCAAGTATCTTTTGACAGCACCTTCCGGACCCACCATCTCTACCACCTAGAAATATAAGGGCAGCTTATGCATGGAAAAATGACCGTGGCAAGATCCCCACACAGCATCATGACTTGCAACTATATCATCATTCCTTCACTGTTGCTGAGTCAAAATCCTGGATAATCCTTCCTAACAGCACTGATGGTGTACCTACAGCATATGGACTGCAGTTGTTCAATAAAGCAGCTCACTATTGCCTTCTCAGTGGCAATTTGGGATGGGAAATTAATGCTAGCCTAGCCAGCGACACCCACATCTTGTGGATAAATGAAAGTCTAGTTGTTAAATATATTGGAGATTTTTGAGGCTGTAATTAACAGGGTAGATAAAGGGGGAGCAGTAGATCTAGTATGCTTGTAATGCTACAAGGCATTGACAAGGTGCTACATAGAAGGTTAGCAGGAAAAGTAAGAGTTCATCAAATTGTGGGTAATATAAAAGAATAGGCAAAAATTGTTTTATTTGTTGAATAGTGGTGCACTCTCAATGGTCTACTTCTTAGTTTATTTTTTGATTGTCTTATGTTATTTAATTTTAATTATTCCATGTTCTTATTGATTACTTACTCTTATTTTCTATCTTAAAGTTTAAATTTGCAATGCAGTCACTTACTAAAATAATGGAAGCCTTGCCATGTTCTTTCTTGGAATCCTATAACTTTTGTGCTAATCATTCTGTAATGTCTGCCAGTTAGTTCACTACCAAACAATTCTCTTGAAGATATTATCTCGAGTTGCTCCTTGAATATTAGTTGTCATATGGGAATTTGCTCAAGTTCTCTGCCATCATATCACAAGTGTAGTCAATGGGCAAAAAAATGTAGACCAGTTCAGTCAAACCAAATCTCATTGTTATCTAATTCACATTCATGGATGCTTTCCAGGGAATGTACCTAGATAGTAAATAGGAGCAAGCATGCTAATAGAACGTCAGCTTTGGCTTCTCTGGATGAGTGAATTTAAAAGTTTTGCATGTAAGCAGCCTGCATCAACCCTATGATGGCATATTAATGAGATCTCCCTTGACATATATTAGATTGTCATTGGAACTTCCATCCTTTCAGCTGGTGCATGCTGTTGCATGGCAAATTGACATTCCAATTTATTCTTCAGTGTCAATAGCAGTGCAAATAGAAAGCTTTGAGAGCCCTTCATTTCTGGTGATCAATAAAAAGTTTGTATGTCTCCATCATGTTCTAATTTCCTTCCTGTTCCTGTCCACACCTGATCTGGAACTATCTCACCATTCCTTTACTGTTACTGGGTCAAAATCCATAAAAGATTGTGCATGTGCCTACTCGAGGTGGATTGTAACAGTTCAAGAAGGTGGCTCACCACTGCCTTCTCAAGGACAATTAGGGATGTATTACCAAAGCTGCTGATGTCTGTGGAACCCACACCTCATGAAACAATAAGAGAAATTAATGACCATATGTGGATTTTATTAACAGGGCTGGAAGCGGTATCGGACATACTGCTATTTCATCGGGCAAACTGCAAAGGCATTCAGTGAAGCATCAAAGATGTGCAAGAGTCAGAATGCATTCCTTGTTAATGTTCAAGACAGGTAAGTATGTTGCATCTGAAATCTGGAGCGAAATCATGATACTGAAATCTTACTGCAAAAAAATGTAACAGGAAATCTTATGAATGGATAAACACCAGGAAGCTGCTCGCACAAATCTGAGATATGTTTCAACTGGACAATTCATTTGGAGAACTTAAGAAGTAGTTCAAGTATTTTTCCTTGTGTCATTCTGAGTGAACTATTGCTATTGAATTCCACTAAATTTCTAGCTGTTGGTTTCTAGATGGAAATCACTGGTAAAAACTTGTTGATGCATTTGTAATACATTGGTATTTCTTTAATTTAGTGAATCAACTATCTTACACGCAATAGCCTATTACTGTAATTACATTCGTTACCACTATCCAACAAGTGAAGATTGTGTCTTTGCTGGTAAACAATTGATCAATATCAATAATTCAACAATATTTTCTAGTTCCTGGTGAACTTTCATCTACAAGTATCCAATAGTAACTAATTAAATTCTCATATTGTATGAGAGCTATATGTTGATTGTTGACACACAATGCCAATTAAAGACAGAATTAGGAGCAACTGTATATTTGACAAGAAACTGAATAACTGTGAATTGACAATTCAGTGGCAGAATCAAATTTGGAATCAAAATGAAAGAGTTAGGTGAAAATATTGGAGTGAATGTTTATCTTCAGCACCTGGATAGTAATACAATGGAGTAGTTTGCCTATTTTAGAAGAAGTCATAGTTTTTATTTCATTGATTCATTTCTTCCGAACTCCAATTTGCTCTAAAAAATGTATTATATTAATTGTGTTCAAGTGTTGACAGGCAATGTAAACTATTAGCCAGAAAATAACAGGAAGTAAAATCTGTCAGTCACTGATCACTAATGGGCAACAGTGAAATTTATCAAAACTATTGATCAGGGACCAACATTTGCCTTTAAAACATAATATAGTTTCAAAGGGCAAATATATTGTTTCCTCAACAGGTACAAATTAATAAAAAAGACATGGAAATTCTTTAAGTAGCTATGACTTCAGCCTAATCTGATTTGTGCTTGATTTCATTATCCTTGAACAAAGAAACTTTATTTGATATCTTCAAGTCCAAATTACAAAAGAGGAAGTGCTGAATGTTTTAAAAGGCAGAAGAGTAGCTAATTTTCTGAATCATCTTCTGAAGAAGGGTCTAGGCTCGAAACGCCAGCTTTCCTGCTCCTCTGATGCTGCTTGGCCTGCTGTGTTCATCCAGCTCTACACCTTGTTATCTCAGGTAGCTCCCCTGGACCTGATCAAGTGTATCCCAGGACATTGTGGGAAGCTAGGGAAGAAATTGTGGGGCCCCTAGTAGAGGTATTGATATGATTGGCAGCCATGGGTGAGGTGCTGGAAGACTGGAGGGTGGCTAATTTTGTGTTATTATTTAAGAAAAGCTGCAAGGAAAAGCCAGGGAACTATAGGCCAGTGCGCTGAATGTCAGTGGTGGGTAAGTTGTTGGAGGGGATTCTAAGAGGCATTTGGAAAGGCAAGAACTGATTTGGAATAGTCAGCACAACTTTGTGCAAGGGAAATCATATCTCACAAATTTGATTGAGATTTTTGGAGAGGTGACCAAGAAGATAGATGAAAGCAGAGTGGCAGATGTCATCTACGTGGACTTTAGCAAGGCTTCGACAACGTTCCATATGGTAGACTAGTTAGTAAGATTAGATCACACAGGATTCAAGGACAGCTGGCCAATTGGATACAAATTCGGCTTGATGGTAGGAGACAGAGGGTGCTGGTAGAAGGTTGTTTTTCAGACTGGAGAACTGTGACCAGTGGTGGGTTGCAACATTTGGTGTTGTGTCCACTGCCGTTCATCATTTATATAAACGATTTGGATGAGAAAGTAGGAAGCATTTTCAGCAGGTTTGTGGATAACACCAAAATTGGTGGTATAGTAGACAGGAAAAAAGGTTATCTAGGAGTACAACAGCTTCTTGATCAGCTGGTTCAGTGGGCAGAGGAATGGCAGATGGAGTTTAATTCAGATAAATGATAAGTGTTGCATTTTGGTAAGACAAACTAGGGCAGGACATACACAGTTGATAGTAGGGTCCAGAGCAGTATTGTCAAGCAGAGAGACCTAGGGGTGCAGGTACATCGTTAATTGAAAGTGGAGTCGCAGTTAAGCAGGGTGGTGAAGGCATTTGGCATTCTTGCTTTTGTCGGTCAGAGCATTGAGTACAGGAATTGGGATGTCATGTTACAGCTTTAAAGGGAATTGATAAGGCCACATTTGGAGTAATGTGTACTATTCTGGTCACAATGCTATAGGAAGGATCTTTTTAAATTGGAAACGGTGCAAAAAAGATTTACAAAGATGTTTCTGAGACTGTAGGGTTTGAGTCATAAGGAGACACTGGATAGGCTGCAGCCTTTTTCTCTGAGCAGAGGAGGCTGAGGCGTGACCTTATAGAAGTTTATAAAATCATGAGGAGCATAGATTAGGTGAATAGCCAAGGTATTTTCTCTGGGGTAGGGGAGTCCAAAACTAAAGGGCAGAGGGTTAAGGTGGAGGGGAAAGAATTAAAAGGACCCGAGGGGCAACGTTTTCAAACAAGAGGGTGGTGCATATATAGAAAGAGCTATCAGAGGAAGTGCTAATGGTGGGTACAGCTGCAACATTTAAAAGACATTTGGACTGTTACATGGATGGGAAAGGTTTAGATGGATATGGGCCAAATGCAGGCAAATGGGACTCATTTAGTTTGGGAAATCTGGTCAGCATGGACAAGTTGGATCGAAGGGCCTGTTTCCGTGCTGTATGACTCTATGGCTCTGTGTATTCAGGTTCTGTATTTCTCTAATATTTATGGAACTCAGGAACTATCAATGGATGTATCTAGCTTAAATAATCAAATTTGAAGTTTAAATAGGTTAGGTGATCATTTTGTAAATCTGTAAATTCTAATCATATTCACTCCGTTGTGCTCGATCATCTGGTCCTAGATGTCTCCCATTCCTTTCCATTTTGGCTTTAACAACACTTAACTTCACTATAATCATACTGCATTATGAGGATCAACATGCCAGAACTAATTTTCCTCCACAATTTACCAACTCAATTCCCCGCTTTCTATGTCTCTATACTTGTTTAAAGTCTGTCACATCAGTAATATTCTCCAGGTCTGACAAAAGTTACTTACCTAAAAGTTTAACAATACTCCTCTCTCTCTAAATGCTGTCTGATCAGCTGAATACTTCTAGCATTTTCTGTTTATATTTCAAATTTCCAGCAACTACGGTATTTTGTGTTCGTGTCAAAGCTATTAATCTTTTGGATATTAATTTTCAAAGAATAGTATTCCAAAGTAATTGGATTTTGGGGTAATCCAATTGGCTTTCAATTAGGTATGATGGGTTGACATATGTTAGATGGATTTTAATATCAATGTAAGATAATGTATCTAAGTTTTGCATTAGTTAATAATAAACGTGAACGTGGTGAAAGCAAACTTTTAATGGGCTTAAAGGGAAGTGATAATTGGGTATGCTCTTAAGGCAATTGGTCAAATGCGTAGTTATTACTAAAACAAATTGCTCAGTAAATCCGTGTAATATGTATTTGCAAAGGTTTTTTTTTATCATTTATGTTAACCTAGTAAAGACATGACAGATCAAATGGTCTCCTGTGTTACAGAATTTAGTGAATCTTGAAGTTGAATTGAGTTAAATTGGAGTTTCAAATTTGGAATAGCCTTTCTTGCCTCTGTACAGGAACCAGTTTCTCTATTTCTTAATCTTCCTTCTCCATTCCAGATATGAGCAAGCTTTTTTGACAAGCTTAATTGGTCTGAGACCAGAGAGCTATTTTTGGATTGGCATGAAATCTGATCCAGACAACCAAGGGGCTTTCTTGTCTGTGAATGGGGAGTCGGTGTCCTTTACAAATTGGAATATCAATATGCCAGGTAGGCTTTAAGCAAAGCATCCCCTAATATAGCAACTCATTGAATTTCATTTATTGTGTACTGACCTGTAACTTGTGCTTTCGACTATTGGGCAGTAATAAACCTTCAGTGGAATTTAGTTTGACCTGTGGTTTATCCTCTCATTGGAGAGCTGGAGAACTCATGTTGCTTCTGTCCAAAAGGCCCAGTTCAATTACCAGGCAGTAAACTAGATAACGTTGACCCTGCCATGCAATCAGACCCTCAATATGATAGTAATCCCCACTCTTCCCACCACTGAGAGCAATCAAAGACTATCAGGTCTCTAGTTCCAGCAGTGTCCAGGGGAGTGCCAGCCATTGCCTGTACAACAATTTGGACAATAACTGCAACTGGCCTTAATTCCCAGATAGGACTTGATGGGATTTGGAGCAAGGGATTGAAGAGCAAGGGACGGGAGTGAGATAGGGAGCAAAAAACTGGGGACTATTTTTGGGAGGCAACAAGCAGACCCGGTAGGGTTTGCTGAGCAACCTCCCTGTGTGGCGTGACCCTCTGGCATCACTGGTTGAATATCAGCGATGACTGGACAGGACCCTTAGGTGGCCCCTAAGTAGCTATTTAAGTATCCACAATCGAGCTCTGGGCTTTCAGGCCCCAATATATCCTTGCTGTTCTGACCTTGATAGGCAGGGAAGTGGAAAGGTGGCGTTGTCCTCACCTTGCACCATACCAACCGATCAAATAGCCCTCAATGTCTCCAAACGTGCCTCTGGGGTGGAACTAAATTCCACCCACTGGGGAAAACCACGAGTTTGGGTAAAAGATGTGTTTTATTTGTCATCTAATAATAGACTGCCTTGACTTTATTGGGGAGTAAAGCTGGATACAGATTATCATCAGTACCTTGATGAGCATAATGGATGAAAATTGGTCCTCTTCTCTCCATCATACAAAAATAAAATAAACCCAACCTGGTGTTAATCATCAGATTTTAAACCTAATTTTGTAGCTGAGTAAGAATAATATGGCATAGTTATACTACCATTAATTTTATTAAATTATTGTTAGTTTTTAAATAAAAGCCAGTGGTTTTAATTTATTTGAAGTGTGTTGATCTGCTTCTTAACTGTTAGTCTATTTGGTTTCTGGGAGAATTTGTTGTTTAAATTATTAATTGCAGGGAGAAAAGCTGGCTGTGTTGGTATGGCAACCAAAAGTGCTGCTGGATTATGGAATGTGTATGATTGTATGAACAAGGCAAAATACATCTGCCAGCACTGGGCAGCTGGTGCAACGTCTCCTCCAACAATTCCGACAACTCTCGCCACAACTTGTTCAGAAGGCTGGGAGACATATGAGAATTCTGGGTACTGTTACAAAGTGAGACCACTGAACGTTTATATTCTGTACTTTTATATGCTATTAAAATGAAACCATGTGGTGTCTCTTTAAAGGGAGATTGCTGACAACCAGCAGAGCTTGCCTCTCTGACTCAGAGTGGCACAGTGGTTAGCGCTATTGCCTCACAATACCAAAGACCTTGGTTCAATTCCAGCCTTGGGTGGGAGCTTGGGGTTTGCACATTCTCTCTATGCCTGCGTGTGTTTTACTTGAGTGCTCCGGTTTCCTCCCATAGACCAAAGATGAGCAGGTTAGGTAGATTGGCCATGCTAAATTATCCTGTAGAAACCAAAAGAACTGTGGATGCAGACTCAGTGGGTTAACTATAGTAAATGTGGGATTATGAGAATAGGGTGGGATGCTCTTTGGAGGGTCAGTGCAGACTGAATGGCCTCTATCTACCTTGTAGGGATTCTATGACTCACTTCTAATGGCTAGAACCATTTTCTTTTACATCAAGTATCACTGCAGAACCTTTGCCTTGACTTGTATTAGCCTAGTGAATCGTTATGTGTAGTTACACGCTGCCTTACTGTTGCTGAGTTCAGTTGCTGTATCTTCTTTCTTAGGCAGTCAGCTTTGTGTCTAGGTTTGGATTAAGGCTTAGATGACACTTTCAGTGAAACAGCTTCAGTGGAAAGAAACCTGCTACAAAAAGATAGTCACCAAATTTAAAAACGGAACTACAGGCTGTGAAATTCTGGGGGATACACTGAAGCTGTATATGAACTTACATCAGTTAAGAGCAGGAGTAGATCATTCAGCCTCTTGAGCCTACTGGGCAATTCACACGGCTGACCTGTCTGTAGCCACAAGAAGGGTCCCAACCCGAAATGTCAACTTTCCTGTTCCTCTGATGCTGCCTGGCCTGCTGTGCTCCCCTAGCTCTACACTATGTTATCTCTGACCCCAGCGTCAGCAGTTCTTATTAACTCCACATTCCTTTCCCTTCTTACCCCAGTATCTATCTACCTCTACCTTAAAAATATTAAATGACTCTGTCTCCAATGGTCACCTGGGAAAAGGGATTCAAAAATGCCCAATCCTCTGAGGAAAGATTTTAAGTGGGTGACCTTTATTTTTAAAATGCGGCCCCTTGTTCCTGTTCCTGCCACAAGGGGAAATACACTGTCAAGACCCCTCAGGATCTTAGATAACACTGTGTGGAGCTGGAGGAACACAACAGGCCAGGCAGCATCAGAGGAGCAGGAAAGCTGACGTTTCAGGTCGGGACCCTTCTTCAGAAATCTGGATCTTATCTGTTTCAATAGGATCGTCTCCCATTCCTATTTTAAGTACTGTGCTCACAGGTAGCTTCTTCAATCAGAACCCAATGGACCTAAACCTTTCTTGTGCATTCTTCACCTATTTTCTCTTTATTGGCCCTACTTTTTCCCTATGTGCCAATCATTTGTCAGCTAGAAAAGGATAGCCTCAAGGACTTGTAACTATTCCAGAATATCAAGGGTTAAAAGTCAAACCATGTAGCAACTGGTGTTTGGGTATTATGCTGCCCCCTACATCCCATGGATGGTAGAAAGAAGCAAATAATCCACCAGCTAATCAAGAAAGTATCTATCTCTATCTTAAATGCACTCAATGACTTGGCCTCCACAGCCCTTTTTGCAATGAGTTCACAGCCCCAGGACATCACTGTTGACTTTCACAGGATAGCATTTTAGGAGAAAACGTTTCTAATTCCTTCACCAGTGACCTTCCTTTCAAAATCAAGTCAAAAATGTGGATACTTTTGCATTTTGTTCAGAACCATTTGTAACTCTGCAAATGATGAAGGAATCCATACTAGCTTCCAGCAGTGTTGGGAGAATATTCAAGTTTGCATTGATAAGCAGCATGTAACATTTATGGCATGTACATGCCAAGCACTGACCATCTCTAATGAAAGGAAAAGCAAAATACTGCAGATCCTGGAGATCTGAGTTTAAAATAGAAAGTGAGAGAATTAAATTATATTGTCTTGTGTACTCAAGTACAGGGATAGAGGAGACAGTGAAAAATTTACAATGTTGCCATTCATGGTGCCATCTTAGGTACAAGATCTTGGGTAAAAAGTAGAAAAATAAAGAAAAAGGCCCCCCACTGGTCTTGATCTTTCTCCCGTGCTAAGCTCGATCTCTCAGTCCCCACGCCTCTGTGCTGCTGTTGAGACACAATTCATGTCTTAAGTTCAATGGCTCTTGTGCAGAAGTGAAGGCAACTTGAAAATGATGGCTTTTGTGTTGTTGACATACATGGAAATGTGTAAGGAGTGAAACATAAACCATAAGTTACATGAGCAGAATTAAGCCATTTGGACCATTGAGTCTCCTCCTCCATTTGATCATGGCTGATCTGTTTCTTAAACCCATTCTCCTGCCTTTTCCCTGTAACCCTTGATCCCCTTACTAATCAAGAACCTGTCTCTCTTTGTCTTAAAAGACACTCAATGACTTGGCTCCACAGCCCTCTGTCGCAATGATTCACTACTCTCTAGCTGAAGAAATTCCTTCTCATCTCAGTTCTAAAGCATCGTCCCTTCACCCAGAGGCTGTTTACTCGGGTCCTAGTCTCTCCTATTAGGACAAACATCATTTCCATGTCCACTGTATCCAGTTAGTCATCGCAGTATTCTGTAAGTTTCAATCAGATACCCTCTCATCCTTCTAACCTACTTTGAGTACAGACCCAGAGTCCTCAAACCTGCCTCATGTGACATCCCTTCATTCCTGGGATCATTCTTGTAAACATCTTCAGGACCCCCACCAATGCCAGCACATCTTTCCTTTGATACAGGGTGTGAGACTGCTCACAATATTCTAAATGCCATCTAACCAGAGCCTCAGCAGTACATCTGTGCTCATGTAGATACAGCGCAGGCTGCAACGGGTGTATGAATGACTCCTGTCTTCGAGCTGTTTGCCTTTTCAATACATCATCTTGCTCTAGGCTTGCTGCAGTGTTCCAGCAAAGACCAACAAAAGCAGAAGGAACAGCATATCATTTCTGCTTAGCCACTTTCCAGCTGGACTCAACGTCGATTTAAACAATTTCAGAACCTGAACGTTGTCTTCCATTTTGATTACACTTGGTTTCTTTCTCCACTGATGCTGTCTGACCTTTTGATTTTCTACGGCACTTTCTGTTTGTTTTATTCCAATAAAAAAGAATCGAACCATTTCCTCCAATGTTCTTCATCAATGAATCCTTTACCATCAAAATTCTATTTATCAATGGGCACTAAATTAACTTGGGCAGCCACATAAATATTGTGGCTACAAAGGCAAAGAATGAACTGGAAATTCTGAACCAATCAACTCACTTCCAAACTTCCCAAATCCTGCCAACCATCTGCACAAGTAGTGATTTTGTGCACTTCTATTGCTTGCTTCCCACAAATTTGATCTGGCATTTAGCATCCATTTTAAGAGATTGTAGAATTCACAGTTTAATTGCCAATTAAGTTCAATGCAAACAGGTAGGATTTATAATGAAGAGTATAAGGATCCTTTTAACAGTCTTAATGTTGATCCATTGACAATCTGTTTCTCCAGCCTGGAATCAGATTAAATGAAACAGTTCAGTAATTTCTAGTATGTGGTAAATTATTTTAAGAATTTATTAACTCTTTTCCTTAATGTCATTCCTTTGTGTCATTTTTATTACATTCTTAATGCAATCTTGCTTTTCCTCTCTTTATCACTATTTCTGTCCCAAGTTTGAATGTACTTCATTCTCCTTTTGCATTGCAGCTCTCTTTCTAATTGATCCTTAAATCTATTTAAGCAATTGCATAGTCGGTTCTGCAATTCCCTCAGGTCCTAGGTGCCCTATTGTTTTTGCATTACTGTTAATAACTTGAATTCCCAGCAAGCCACGTTGTAAAAAACCTGCAAGCTGGAATGTGCAGAAAAACAACTAGCTGACAACGTCCAGGCAATATGCTGTTTGCACGCAAGATCTAGCCTGTTTTTCTTTCATTAACTCTGTGGCATTACGCCGATAAGCAGATCTCAGGTTGTGCAAATCTCAAGCTGCGCTTTGCCAGCAGACAGATCAAGGTTAACCACAGAAAGCAAAATACAAGTCCTTTAAGGTGTCATCAGCCAGATAGAATGGAGAACCTGTGCCACAGATTATGTTTAAACATCTAATCAACAGCCCTTTGATTGAATGTGATACGATTTCAATCTTGCACATGCTTCATTTTAAATCACTTATCAACTCAGCCTACAGTGAAGGCCACTTTTTTTTTCTTAGACTTTGTGATTTGAAGATTAGTAACAGATATGCTTTCCCATCCAGACTTTTATAAAATCTATGCAAGCTCAGAAATCATGGTTTGAAGCACGTAATTACTGTCAAGACATTGGCGGAGATCTTGTCAGCATCCACGATTATGCTGAAGAAAGATTTATCTGGAAAAAACTAGTGTAAGTATTTGATGAATCCATTTCCCTTCTTGTCCCACCCAGGTACTTTGTTCATGAGAGAGAAGGCCTATCTAATATGAGTTACATTCTAAGAAATTTTAACACAAGAATTTGAGGAAGTTAACGCAAGCAAAGTAGGGAAGCTGGTTTCAATCTGTTGGCTCTCAGGAGACTCATTGTCTTAACAAGGCTGCCAATCTCTGTTTTAACCTGCTACTCATGTTATGCGGTCAACTGGGTTCTCAGGATTAAGAACATAGAACATCGAACATTACAGCACAGTACAAGCCCTTTGGCCCACGATGTTGTGCTGACCTATTACTCTACTAAGATCAATCTACCCTGCATACCCTACATTTTACTATCCTCCATGTGCCAATCCAAGAGTCGCTTAAAAGTCTGACTCCACTACCACGGCCGGCAGCGCATTCCACACGCCTACCACTCTCTGTGTAAAGAACCTACCTCTGACATCTCCCCTATACCTTCCTCCAATCACCTTAAAATTATGCCCCCTCGTAATAGTCATTTCCACCCTGGGAAAAAGTATCTGGCTATCCATCTATCTATGCCTCTCATCTTCTTGTACACCTCTATCAAGTCACCTCTCATCCTCCTTCACTCCAATGAAAAGAGCCCTAGCTCCCTCAATCTTTCCTCATAAGGCCTGCCCTCCAGTCCAGGCAGCATCCTGGTGAATCTCCTCTGCACCCTCTCTAAAGCTTCCACATCTTTTCTATAATAAGGTGATCTGAACTGAACACAACATTCCACGTGTGGTCTAACCAGAGTTTTATAGACCTGCAGCATAACCTCACGGCTCTTAAACTCAATTCCCCTGCCAATGAAAGCCAACACACCATACACCTTCTTTACAACCCTATCAACTTGGGTAGCAACTTTGAGGGATCCATGGATGTGGACCCCAAGATCACTCTGTTCCTCCACACAGACCGAGAAACCTGCCATTAACCCTGTATTCTGCATTCAAATTCACCCGTCCAAAATGAATCACTTCACACTTTTCTGGGTTGAATTCCATCTGCCACTTCTTTGCCCAGCTCTGCATACCGTCAATATCCCGTTGCAACCTACAACAGCCCTCCACGCTGTCCCCAACTCCACCAACCTTCGCGTCATCGGCAAACTTACTAACCCACCCTTCCACTTCCTCATCCAAGTCATTCATAAAGATCACAAAGAGCAGCGGTCCCAGAACAGATCCCTGCGGAACACCACTGGTCACCGAGCTCCAGGCTGAATACTTTCCATCTACTACCACCCTCTGTCTTCTATTGGACAGACAGTTTTGTATCCAGACAGCCAAATTTCCCTGAATCCATGGCCCCTTACTTTCTGAATGAGCCTATCATGGGGAGCCTTATCAAATGCCTTGCTAAAATCCATACAAACCACATCCACTGCTTTACCTTCATCAATGTGTTTTGTCACATCCGCAAAGAATTCAATAAGGCTTGTGAGGCATGACCTGCACCTCACAAAGCCATGTTGACTATTTCTAATCAAACTCTGCTTTTCCAAATAATCATAAATACTATCTCTCAGAATTCTCTCCAATAATTTGCCCACCACAGAAGTAAGACTGATCGGTCTATAATTTCCAGGATTACCCCTGTTCCTTTTCTTGAACAAGGGAACGACATTTGCCACCCTCTAATCTTCTGGGACTACTCCAGTGGACAGTGAGAATGCAAAGATCATTGCCAAAGGGGCAGCAATCTCTTCCCTCGCTTCCCGTAGTAACTTGGTATATCCCGTCTGGCCCAGGGGACTTATCTATCCTCATGTTTTTCAAAATTTCTAGCACATCCTCCTTCCTAACATCAACCTGTTCGAGCATATCTGCCTGTTTCATGCTGTTCTCACAAACGTCAAAGTTGCTCTCACTGGTGAATACTGAAGCAAAGTATTCATTAAGCACCTCCCCTGCCTCCTCTGACTCCGTGCACAAGTTCCCTCCACTATCTCTGATTGGCCCTACCCTCACTCTGGCCATCCTCTTGTTCTGGAAACCAGGCAGCATAAGGGAGGTTAGAACACCTTCAGTGAAGCAATATCTGCCCTACAGAATTGCTAGTAAGCCAAGAGGAGCAGAAGTCTCTTCCCCAACAACAATATAACCCCCCTTTCTTGGTTAAAGAATGAAACCTAACCAGTTCAGGGGTGGCAAACTGGCTCAGTGGTTAGTACTGCTGCCTCACAGCACCAGGGACCCGGGTTCAATTCCAGCCATGGGTGACTGTCTTTGTGGAATTTGCATATTCTCTCTGAGTCTGCATGGGTTTTGTCCCGGTGCTCCAGTTTCCTCCCACAGTCCAAAAATGTGTAGGTTAGGTAGACTGGCCATGCTAAATTGTCCATACTGTTCAGGGACGTGTAGACGAGGTGGATTAGGCATGGGAAATGCAGGGATAGCGTAGGAAGGTAGGTGTGGATGGATCTGGTTTCTCCTTGGAGGGTCAGTGTGGACTTGATGGCCCAAATAGTCTGCTTCCACACTGAAGGGATTTTATGATTCTAGTTTTGAACATGTTCTGGAGTGCTCCCGGTGAAAGTCAAATCTAAGACGATTCTTCAGGATGTGCAAAATGTAAAAGCATGATATGTAACTAAGTTACCACTTATGATTGTTGAGGGCAAGCAGTCCATTGATTGGATTCATGCTGAGAACATAAGACCATAAGAAATAGGAACAGGAGTACATCAGTAACTAGGGGTCACAATCTGAAGCTTACCAATAAGACAGCTAGGAGTGTGATGAGAAGAAACTTCTTTTCTCAGATATTTATTAGGATTTGGAATATGCTGCCTGGGAGAGTGGTGGAGACGGATTCCACAGGAGGTTTCCAAAGAGAGATGGATATATATTTGAAAGTGATGAGTTTATAGGGCTATGGAGGTAGGGTTGGAAAATGGTACTAGCTGAGTTGCTCTTTCAGGAGCCAGTACTGACACAATGGGCCGAATGGCCTGCTACTGTACTGTAAAATTCTATGATTTTATGATGCTATGATTCTCTGAGTGTGCCATTTGGCCACCAGAACCTGCTCCACCATTCAATAGGAACATGGCTGTTCCAATATTCTGCTTTCCTGCCCTTTCCCCACAATTCTTGATTCCCCGACTGATCAAGAATCCATCTCAGCCTTAAATATATACAAGGACTGTACCCCCACAGCCCTCTGAGAGAAGAAATTCCTCCTCATCTCAGTGTTAAATTTATGCCCTTTTATTCTGAGATTGTCTGGTCCTAGACCCTCCCTTAAGGGGAAACACCCTCTCAGCATTTACGTGAAGAAGAAGCTCTGAAGAACATTCACACAGGACTCAAAACATTAACTCTGTTTCTCTCTTCACAGATGTTTCCAGACCTGCTGTGTTTCTCCAGAATTCTCTGAGTTTGTTTTTGACTCCCAATTGCCGAAGAGCTCCAAAGTGTCACAACTCTTTGAGAGAAAAAATTCCTCCTCAGTCTGAAATTGCTGCCCCTTTATTCTGAAACTATGCCCTCTGGTCCTAGACTCTCCCATGAGGGGAAACATCCTCTCAGCATTGACCCAGTCAAATCCCTTAAAAATCCTGAATGTTTCAATAAGATCACCTCTCATTCTTCTAAACTCCAGTGAGTGGAGTGCCAACCTGTTTAACCTTTGATCATTATGCAATCCCTCTGTATCAGGGATCATCCTAGTGAGCCTTCTCTGAACTGCCTTTAATGAAATCATATTTCTCGTTGAATAAGGGGCCCTAAATTGCTCACAGTAGTCCAGTTGCAGTAAGACCTCCTTATTCTTATACTTTAACCCTCTTGAAATAGGGGCCAACATTCCATTCAACTTTCTGATTACCTGCTGCACCTGTATGCTAGTTTTCTGTAGTTTATGTCCAAGTACCCCTCAAGTCCCTTTGTGTTGCAGCTTTCTTCAGTTTTTCTCCATTTAAATAATATTCTGATCTTCTGTTCGCCCTTCCAAAATGAGCAATTTCACATTTTTGCACACCCTCCTCCATTTGCCAAATGTTTGCCTCTTTGCATAAACTCTCTTTAAACTCTTTGTATACCTCTCACAATCTGCCTTTCCACTTATTTTTGCAAATTTGGCTACAGTAGATTTGTATCCTTCCTCCAAGTCATTGATATACATTGTAAACAATTGCGGTCCCAGCACTGATCCATGTGTAACCTGTAATAACTTGAATTCCCAGCAAGTCATGTTGTAAAACCAACCTGTAAAAGAACCTCTTATCCCCACTCACTGTTTCCTGTCTATTAATCAATTCTCAATCCCTGCCAACACACTACCTCTAATACCGTGGACTCATCTTACGACTTAACCTTCAGTGTGGTTGAACTCCTTGTAGAAGTCCAAATAATTGATGAAGTCGCCTTTATCCACTCTGGTTGAGACTTCCTCAAAAACTCCAATAAGTTAGTTAGAAATAATTTCCTTATCAGGCAGACCTCAGATCAGGTCACATGGCCCCATATTTTACTTCAAAGACCCAGTGCCAAAACCCAATCATTATATTAACATTATAATTGTATCAAACATCCTTGCTTTAAGGGAGGGCACATTTGCTTTAAAGGGGTCTTGTGGTGCAGTGGTCATGCCAGGAGGCCTGGTTTCGAGCTCTTCAGGCATCTAATAACATCTCTTGAACAGGTCGATTTTTTAAAAAATGCAGCCCCTTCTCCTAATCCAAATGAAATCTCATCCACCTTCATTTGTTCATCAATATTTGAAAACTTACAGGCACACTGTCTGACTGACATAGGAGGATGAGGGGCAACCATGAAAATGATCCCATGGTTTTTCTGGGTGATTGGCACAGTTATCCTCCTCAGCCAGAGCTAATTCAGCAACTAATAGAACATAGAACATAGAACATAGAACAGTACAGCACAGTACAGGCCCTTCAGCCCACAATGTTGTGCCGAACTTTTACCCTAAACCTAAGATCTATCTCACCTCCACTGCTACCTTATACTATCATCCATATGCCTATCTAATAGCCGCTTAAATGCCCCTAATGAGGCCGACTCCACTACTCTCTCCGGCAATGCATTCCACGCCCCTACCACTCTCTGAGTAAAGAACCTACTTCTAATGTCTCCCCGATATCTACCTCCTTTCACTTTAAAACTATGTCCCCTTGTAAAAGTTACCTCCATCCTAGGAAAAAGTCTCTGGCTGTATACTCTATCTATACCTCTGATCATTTTGTACACCTCTATCAAGTCAAATGTCCAAAGGAACCTCAATATTTTATTCAGTTTCTCTTTTCATTGTATATAGGTCACTTATGGCTTATTCACCTCTGTGGATTGGATTATATAAACCGAAACCAAACAGTGGATTTGTCTGGAGTGATAACAGTCCAGTAAGTGTTTTGTCATCAAGTGTGTAACTGAAAATAACTTCCACATGTCAAAATCTCAAATTTTCCACGTAATTGTAATGCATTCCATTTTTGCTCGTTGTTTTAATCTCTTGGGAAGGTTCTAGTTTAGAGGTGTAACAAAGATGAGATCATTAAGAATTTCACCAGCACCAAATATTTGTTGAATTAATTCCCTTACCTGTTCACATTGTAATTTCCAAACTCAAAAGTTTCACCAAACCAGTAAGATATAAAGGTATTATGGAATATTCCAGCTTTTAATAGTGCCTTTACGTAATGAGGCTCATGCCAAAGCATAGCATCAATTGACTTTGCACCAAAACTAAAACTTTAGTGTCAAAGTTTTCTCGTACTCTGCTCCATTGCTGTATATCACCAATCCAGCCACTGGTTATGCCCTGGTAACATTCAGCTTTCAGACATTTGAAGTATTATCGCATGTTGAATTGGTACCCATGCCATTACAGCACAGTTGTGGCTCCACCTTAAATGGAGAGAGAAGGCTCCCTGCCGTGAATAGCTGTGATAACAAGGTGTAGAGCTGGATGAACACAGCAGGCCAAGCAGCATCAGAGGAGCAGGAAGGCTGATGTTTCGGGCCTAGACCCTTCTTCAGAA